GCGGTCAGGGCCGGCATCCGCGCGCTTCCTGGGCCGGCGCGCGCCTCGCTGCTAACCGGCGGCGTGCTTATCCCGCAGGACCCCGGCGAGATGTTTGTTGTGTTGAGAGATGAAGTGACCGGCGGCACAGTGGACGTCGAGTTCTCGGCGAGGGAGCAGCGTGCGCGGGCCCGGGCAGCCCCCTGGAGCAAGACGGTCTGGCGCGTGAAGGCCGTCGGTAAGGGCTGCAGGCTTCGCGCGACAGGGAAGCCACCCCGGGTTCCTGTCACCCCGCGACGACCAGAGGTCTCACTCCCCCACGGTGGCCCCTCCGCGTGGCTCTCACACCCCCAGGGGTGGCTTTGCATCTGAGTTTGCAAAAGTGCAGATGTGTGGTGACGGGCCAGAACTTGCCCTCGCTCGCGCCCGCCTCCGTTTCTTATTTTTTTTTTTTGCCATGCCCTTCGGCATATTTTTGGTTGTCGGGAAGGAGAATTTTCCTGGCTACTTTATTGTCACAGTAACACTTCCTCCTGCCGCTCCCCCTCGGGCTCCCTGAAGCTAACGGTTTCCCGAGCCTTGGGCTTGCAGCCTGACAAACTGTGTCTGGTTCAAAGCTGCACCTGGAACAGCCACACTTGCTAGAATAAAATCAAAGGTAGCATCCCACCAGCGGAGTGTCTCCGCATCCAGGCGGGACCGCTTGCTTTTTAAAACGTCAGTCACCTCGCTTCCTGACGGGCAGAGCACCGCCAGGGGCCTCCTAAAACTTCACAGAGTGTATTTGTAAAAGAGTCCGCCGCAGCAGGCCTCTTGTTACGAATCTGGAAACGCAGGAAGTCCCTCCGCAGAGAGCAGGCCCACCGGGCTTCGCCCCGGGCAGGGAGACCTGCGAGGCGCCCCTGGGCCTGCACGGCGGGGCCCCTGCTTGGGGCGGGGGTGCAGAGGTGCGGGCAGGAGCTCGCCACGACACACTTTAGTATGGCTTAATGAGCACCAGGTCCTAGCTATTAGCTGCAGAACGTAAGCTAACTCTAGCTGGCCTGAAATCACGGCACAAAAATCAATCTTGCAAATTAAGAAGCACTTAGACAACAGTTCCCACGTAGCAGATCCAAATGCCGGAACTGCTCACGCTCCGGTTTTGTTCTGTTTGCCCAGTAGCTTAGGTCGGTGCAACACAGGAATGGTCAAACTCCAGGGGATTGTCAGAGTCGCGGGAGCGAACAGCCTGCGCTTTTTGCCGCGTGCCAGGGCACAGTATTGTCTCCGGTTGAACAACACGTTTGTATTCAAGCCCCGGTGCAGGTCATGGGTGGCCCTAGCAGTCGCGGGCGCTGCAGGAGACGGGCGGCACCTGGCGGCCGCAGGGCTGCCGTCCCTCTGCCGCCCGGCCCTGCGTCTGCACCGTGTCTCCCTGACGAGGGCATCCGCTCCTCGCGGCCAAGCACGTCCCTGGCACAGAGGCCCCGGCAGCCCCAGCCGGCCGGCGGGGAGGCGGGTGCGCGCCTCCCCTCACAAGGGAAGGCCGAGAGCCCGGCCCGCGGCTGCTTTTCTGGAACTCGCAGAGACGGCAGGAGATGCGGGGGCTTTCCCCGAGAAGCCGGAGCGCAGGCGCGGCGGGGCGGGACAGGGCCGGAGCACCCAGCCTCGGCCCAGGGAAGCCCTGAGTCCCGGGGCAGCTCCCAGGCTCTCGGCGGCCCAGGCCCCGCGCTCCCGGATCTGGACACGACGCGAGGACGCGCGTGGAGGCGGGGAGC